TATAATCATAATCAGTAGTGATGACTGCACAGCAACATAGAGGTATTATACATCACCACAGAGGGGTGCGTAACGCTTTTTCTCATCCTCCTACTCCATAAAAGCAGCTGAAAATAAAATCTGGACAAAAATGACTTTAAGAAAGTTTGCGTAGCTTTTTACAATCATATTCCAAGCGTGCAATTTAGAGATAAAGTAATGACAGGCAAATACATCCGTTTATTTTTCAGTAAAAACGTTGAAGCAATGAAATGGATTGATTTAGACGGTTTTCTCATCTTTGACATATTATTCAGCCAGGCTTTTAAGCATTGGTAACCTATGGAACAAGAACGCACACTTACTGTACAGATCTTAACAGGGATTACTTTTTGCGCCATCAAGGCTCGGTTAAAGGGTTAGTAGCGAGTAAATAACAAAGTCTCTTCTTATTGAAATGTTCCACAATGGGGAAGTTGATGGTCGTAAAAGGTGAAAAACAAATGGGCCAAGAGTTACACTGTTGTGAGCAACCCCAAAATTCGGAGATTTGCATAATACCACAATAGTTTGCTTGTCAAATGAACTATATTTATTCATTTTAAAATGACATTTTGTTTCCTCGTTATGACTACGTCCAAACATTGCTACATTGTGAAGGATCACGTCTCATCCCCATTTGTCTAAAATGCTTGAGAACAAACCATGGAAAAAAGAATCTGGTGTGAAGGGGCTACAATTGCACACAGAAAGTGAAAGGCATCAGTTAGGATAGCAGAAGATGTGCAAAGCATCTATCAGTGATGAGGTTTGATGCCCCACACCTAAGGAAGACCAATTGTTTATCGCATCAGGACTGGCCCACTGATGATGGATAGCAGAAGTGTTGGATATTTGCACATATATGAGACAGCAAATTGAAACACCAGATTTACGAGTTACTTATGAGTAGTTGTGCCTTATAAAGCAAAAGTGGAAAATCAAATATCTTTTTACAGGGAAAAGCACAAAATTGGAATGTTTTATGCTTAGTATTTGGTCACTGCGAATAAGCTTCATGCACTGAAGAATAAGTGCTTCTTTCTAATATTGCAGCACACTTCTTTTCACTGCTTGCAAGATATTTGAGTTAACAATCTTGCACC